CGGGTGACACCTTGCTTGGGGGGGGGGGCGGTATGTAGGTACATGGACCCTTTTGTTAAGTCAAAGCTTCCTTCGGTTGCCCTAAACCCTAGCCCGTAACCCTAAACCCTGGCCAGGGGCCCAATCGGGAGAGCGAGGGGAAGATCACGCAGCAAAAGGTAGTGAACGAGTGCCCGGGCTTTGCGTCACGAATCTTTTCAATCCCTCGGCACCTTAAACCCTTGAGCCGGCCCAATTAAATCCCTAACCCTAAACCCTGAACCCTAAACCCTAAACTCCTAAACCCTAAACCGGAAATGGAAGCCCTTAGCCCCCCTAGCCTTGATTGAGCCCGAATGCCCCCCCCCCGGAGCGCCGACCCACATTTACATCCCTCAAGAGCAGGTTTAGGGTTTGGGGTTTAGGGTTTAGGGTGTGGGGTTTGGGGTAAAAGGGTTGAGGTGGTTGGGGTTTGGGGGGTCTCGAGTCTGGAGGGAACTATGAGGGGACCTGATTCCCAAATTATTTATCAGCAAAAGGCAACAAAACACTCCCTCAACCCTAAACCCGAAACCCCCTAAACCTTAAACCTACTGGTTCTTAGTAGGGAATCAGGGAACCTTGTATCCCCCCTGTACACACTCTTTTATCGCCCCTGTACACACCATTTAAATACGTTGAACCAGTACTTTTCCCTAAAACCTAAACCCTAAACACTGGGTTGGGACTCCCTGGGTAGTGGAGGCAAGCCTTTAGATCCCGAGCGCTTTTCCTGTAGCCATCCGATGGGTTTCCGGACAGTTGGTGCAGGGCTTGGGGGTGTTGGTTTAGGGTTTAGGGCCCCTTTTATGGGTGAATCTCTTAGATGTTGGGGAAAAAGGGGTATCCTAATTCACCTGTGAAGTCGGATGAACCCCGGTTTATACCAGCTTTGTGCAGCGGCAAAAACTCTCTATAGCACCCATCGCAACATGTTCCAGGTACTTGCTGGCACCAGCGAGCACGGGCGCGTAGCCAAAACAATGGCCGACTGCTCTGCAACGCTGGCTGGTTGTTTTTTCCGCTGAATCTACTGGGCGCAGCTTCAGCACGCATGAGTGCGCGATAGTGAGCGCAGGGTGCTACAGCCAAAGCGAGGAGTCGCTCATCCCCCTGGCTTCTGCTTGTTAGGCTTCCAGCTAGCAGCCGGACAGCACAAAAGCTCATGCCTACGAATCCCCTCCCCCGAATAGATTCCTAATATAGTTACATTAGAGTATATGGGGGGGATATTTAATACTAGAACGAAAAACACTAAACCCTCTGTTGCCCTTATATCGAAGAATGTTCGTCATTTTTTTAAGGGAGTTCTCATGCAAACAGGTAGGCCCTTAGGGGGGTTTAAGAGGATCATCTTCAGGAATGTTTACTCAGAGGCTGTCAAGGGCCATCCTAGGCAAATAGCAGAGAGTCGACCTCACCTGCCGCCCAGCTGCCCGAGCTGTGCAGCTTCCTGTGACCAGCATGGGTCGGCTTCACTTGGCAAAGGCCATGCATGGCAGGCCGGGGACCTGGCGGTCTAGGGTTTAGGGTTTAGGTTTAGGGTTCAGGGTTTAGGGTTTAGGGTTTAGGGGCTCGGGGATTTTTGGGGGTCTCGGGTTTAGGTTCGAGGGGGGCGGGGGAGGGTGGGAGGGGGCTGAGTCTGTCACCTTGCTACCCTTTTTGGGCAAAACCCTGCATGCTGAAAGGTTGGCCTCTGCCTAAAACCCTGACTGCAGACACCGGTTGTCTGGGCAATTTTCTATACTTGTTGTTTCCCTTAGTCCCTGTATAATCCGAGAGAATGATCTAGTTTTTATAGGGCCCCCAAGCTTACCCCAGTAATGTCAGAGGGCAGCATTCCAAGACTTTGAGCGAGTGGCAAAAAAATGCCGACCGTAGGACGAGGACAAGTGGACAAGTGAAGATTGGCTTTCCTGCCCCAGCTTTCTGCGTCTGAGTCCAGTCGACCTTCCTTGTTGTTGCACATGTTGATGAGAGCAGGTGGAACGCGGACAAGCCGTTCATGAATTCCTTGGACATCCACAGGTGGAAGGCTGGGAGGGGCCCTTTTGAACCCTATAAGCCTTAAACTTGTTTAGGGTTTAGGGTTTAGGGTTTAGGGTTTAGGTAGGGTTTAGGGTTTAGGGTTTAGGGTTTAGGGTTGGTTGGATGTGGTTTAGGGTTCGGGGTTTGGGGTTTAGGGCGCTGCAAGCCCGCAGGAGACACAGCTGCCAGCACTGCAATGTCCATGCAGATTAGGTGCCTAAAGCAATGCCAAGATGATCCTCTTACGAGCTCCCGAACAACTACCTGAAGGCTCTAGTGTAGTTCCTTTCGAGCTTCTAGAGGACTCTGGTATATAGTGCCCGCAAAAAATGGTGCAACAGAGGAGCCGTTAGGTATAGCAGAAACTACCCCCCCCCCAAAAAAAAAAAAAAAAAAAAAAAAAACATAATCATGAAATACAAATAAGTCGATGTCCTTTCCATGGACCCCCCTTTTTACGAGCCGACCATGAACGGCACATCAGTCGAGTGGCTTCGGAGTTGATTGCGAGAAGTCGGATGTAGATGTAGCTCCGACAAGAAGGTTAGCGCGCGCCGGCGCAAGCCCTCAACCCCACAGGCCAATCCCTGAGACCAGGAACCCAGCTCATTGAGGAAAGTTAGTCCCAGAATCACAGGCGCAACTCTGAAAATCAGGGGCAAACCGATCAGGACGGCGTATGGGGGCGGATGGCACACAGCCTTCGGCAAAGGCCATCGAACCCCCCTAGCCTTCGTCGAAACCCTTGGCCTTCGTCGAACCCCCCTCCCGGCCCTTGTGGCCTTCGTCGAACCTCCGGCCTTCATTTAGCCTTCGTCGAACCTTCGCGTTTTTTTTCGGGCTTTGTCTTGGCCTTTTGCATCGGCCTTCGTCGAACCCCCTCCCCCTTCGTCGAACCTCCCGGCCTTCGTCGAACCTTCGCCCGGCCCCCCGGCCTTCGTCGAACTTCGTCTCGGCCCGTTGGTATCCCGAGTCTTCGTCGAAGTTCTTCGGCCATCCTGCTCTTCGGCCATCCTGATGTGTTTTCCCCTTAGAAAAGGATTGTATTGTGCGCGCCCCGATCCCCGAACCGTCTACTGAGCCTCCTCGAGCCTCAACCCGTGAACCCTAAACCCAGGCCGTGAAGTCACATAGGCCAGGCAGCACAACTAAACCCTAAACCCCAAACCCTAAACCCTAAACCCTACACCCTAAACCCTAAAAGGCCCTACAGCCGGAACTGTACAACCTTGAAGCGCCAGAGGCCTAGAATTCCAAGCACCCTACACTCAAAGCTATATCTCGAGACCCTAAGTTGGTGCCCCTAAACCCTAAACCCTAAGCTCTAAGTTCTAAGTTCTAAGTTCCGGGGTCTTTGGGGTGAGGCGCGCTTCCCCTTCTGGCCTCCTCCGGATGCCTCGCCGGTGACCCCCATCGAGCCTTGGCAAGTTCCAAGTTCACCCACAAGGGTTTAGGGTTTAGGGTAACCCTAAACCCTAAACCCTAAACCCTAAACCCTAAACCCTAAACCCTAAAGGGTAGCTTCATTGTGTGGGGTTTGTAGGGGGTATATCAGGGGTCCCCTGTTGAGTGCCCAGACGAAGGGACCTTGTAACTGCCCTAAGATTGGGGCTTACTTGGAGGTTCATGGTACTCAATAACCAACTATTAACTGTACGTATGACACTTCTAAGCCCCTCAAGTGCCCCTAATATGGTTATAAGTACAGCTACACGTACAGTTATAATTTGTTAATAAGTTTATAACCCCACTGATAGGCCCGCTAAGTGCCCTAATATGGTTATAAGTACAGTTATAAGTGCAGCCATAATTGGTTGATAAGTACCATGAACCTCCAAGATCCCTTGTTCGGAAGCGTAGCTGTAGGGTTTAGGGTTCAGGGTTTAGGGTTTAGGGTTTAGAGTTTAGGGTTTAGGGTTTAGGGTTTAGGGTTTAGGATGAGACGTTGTGAAGTACGCAGCAGTCCTTGGTGAATTAGGGTACGTTCGATGCAAAGGCCCCCTCGCTGTCAGATGAAGCAGAGAGATCTGAGGAACCTTGGGGGAAGCAATTCTTTGCACGGGGCCCGGACAAGGGTTCCGTGCGACGTTGCTTGATATTCTTGGTTAGGTCAGGATATGCAGAACAACTAGTGTCCGACAAACAGGACTACATTTTCGGGGTTCTAGGTACAGCCTAGCTGTTGGACGCGACATCTCTTTTTCGTGGATGCCTTGGAGAGCAAAGACCCCTACAAAATGAGGACGCGTCCTTAGCGGCTGGATATTAGCATGTTGGTTCTGTGTTTATGTACATTTAGGGTTTCGGGTTGAGGTTGGACAGGAAGCCTACACCCTAAGCCCTCCCCAGCACAGTTGCAAGTGCCACCTTCAAGGGGGTCCACTAGCTCGCATGCTCCGGAAATTGTTCCCCTTGGCAGCAGTCGCGGCACCTGACGGGCAATTGAAGCATGTGTTCTTTGTATTTCTCGTGTCCCCAAAAGTTCACCCAACAGAGGTACATGCATGCATGCATACAGACATACACGCGTGCATGAGCATGTGCATGTACATATTTACATATGTACATCTACATGTGTTCGCACGTATGCGTACGTGTGTACTGCGTACTGTGTAGTGTCTACTGTCTACTGAGTACTGAGTACCGTGACACAGTACTGTGCACTGTGTACTCTGTACTCTGAGAGAGAGAGAGAGAGAGAGAGAGAGAGCCAGAGAGACAGAGAGACAGAGATACAGAGAGCTAGAGAATAGAGAGAGAGAGAGCGAACGAGATCAACAACACCAAACGTCAACTCAGGCGAAGCGTATGGGCCCTTTCCGCCCCCCCCCCCCCCCCCCCACCTGCAAGGCACGTTGCAAACGCACACTTTTCCCGCGGTGGCTCCGAGGATCCCTACCACGGCAGTTTCAAGTCGCAGTCTTTTTTCTGGTGCTTTTCATCTTCTCTGTGCCATGGCCCTCTCTATGCGATTCCTGGCCCAGGCCTGGGTGGGGTGGTGTGTATTAGGGTTGAGGGTTTAGGGTTTAGGGACATGTGGGAGGGGTACGGGGGAGCTTTGCCAAGGAACTGCCGTTATACAAGTCAAGTCACATTGTTGAAATTTGGTTGCATGGATGGCAACGCCGATGTTGGCCTTGGGAGGTTCTGACTGCAGGTCTGACTGAGGGCTCCTGTTCCAAGATTGAAGCTGTTGCATCACGAGCTTGGTTAGCGTTTAGGGTTTAGGGTATATAGTGTTTAGGGCTTAGGGTTTAGGATTTTTTGCTTGTTGCTCACCATGCCCTGTGTGCCTGCATGGACCTAAACATCTGGCAGGGTCTGGGGCTGAGGGTCCAAGCCAACCTTCACTTTTAACCCGAAACCCTAAACCCTAAACCCCAAACCCTAAACCCTAAACCCTAAACCAGCCAGCCATCCGGAAGCATCGGTCCGCGTCAACCCACGGGCACACCCGGAACCCCCGTACTACCTCCAGCGGTCATGGGTTCCACTTCTACCCCCCTATTAGGGTCTAGGGTTTAGGGTTTAGGGTTTAGGTCTACCTTCCTTTTCCTAGGTTCTCCTTTGAAAAACCTGAAATGGAACTAGGCTAAATTATCGCGAAATCTCATACCCGAAATATCATAAATTATGGGGGGGGAAACCTATAGGGGGGGGGGGGGGTCGGAGGGGAAGTAGGGTAGTAGGGTAGTATAGAGGGGGTGTAGTAGGGGCTCCCTAAACCCTAATATGGCAACGCGTTCCCCCTAACAACGAGTCCTCCATGACTCTGTTTTTTCGTGGGAATATTTGCTATGACGGGTCAGGGTGGGTCTTGTTAATTTCCTAAGGGCCAATGTACCAAAGTAGATATACTTGGGCTGGAAAAGCACGCCCGAAAAAAATGACTGGGCCCAAGTATATAGTATTTGGGATATTTAGGTACATGGACTCCTAGAATTAAGATAGAGAGGAATACCCCAAACACTGAATCCCAAAACCTGGGGTTTAGACTTGAGGCATCCAAGAGCGTTGTGGCCAGTGCTGCAACGCCCAAGTCCGCGAAGACGCCGAAGACACCCAAGACACCGAAGACGCCTTTGCGCCTTCGGCCTGTTAGGGGTTTCGGGTTTTCGGTTTGACTTAAAAACCTAGGCCCTAAACCCTAAACCCTGAACCGCATGGAGCCTTGTCGCTCGGATGCATCGGACTTGGGGCACCCAAATCCCAAAGCCCAGAACCCCCTACATGCTTGGGATGTCCCCTACAAGGAGGGCCTTCCTGTACTAACTATAGTTAAGGGACCTATACCCTAATTTAGGATCCTTATGACCTAATTTAGGGTCCTTGTAACTCTACTTATAACTCGGGGGGGGGCCCGAAAGCACAAGGACCTTAAAGCCAGAAGCCATCCCAAGCCTTCTGCATTGCATCTTAAAGGCTCTTACCTAAACCCTAAACCCCCCTTTTAGCCCGAAGCCCCAAACTCTGAAACCCAAACTCCCTGAACCCTAAGGCCCCCTGAATCTCGGACTGCCTCCGACATGCTCAGACTTCTCAACCCTAAACCCCTTGCCCCCTGCTGTTAAACCCTAAACAATCTAATGGTAGTTTCATCGGCCCTCGCTACGGTCCCTGACCTTCTTCAAAGGACTCTAGAGTATGGGCCCTTGGGTTTTATAGGGTATATAAGAGATAGGTTCCACTTCTAAACCCTAAACCCTAGCCCTAAACCCGAAACCCTAAACCCTAAACCCCTTATCCCCTCAACCCTTAAACCCTGAAAACGTTGAAGCCAAGGAGCCCAGTCAGCCCTGCATGCCGCCCGGCAAGCTTCTTCCTGGAAGACGAGGTCCTGCACCTAAGCAACCCCAAGGGGGTTTAGGGTTAGGGTTTAGGGTTTAGGGTTTAGGGTTTAGGGTTTAGGGTTTAGGGTTTGGGGTCTGTGACAGGGTTTAGGGCTACGACATACTGTAAGCTTGGGCATCTTAACTTAGTCGTTCTTGGTAGAGGTTTTGAGAATTAGGTACCCTATAAAACCCTTCATTGCTCATACGGTGTAGTACAAGATACCTTCATTCCTGAGAACGAGTACCTACGACACCCATGGGGCATTGCGCTGAACAATAGAACCTAAACCCTATGCCCCTTGACTGTTCCTAATTTCGTAAGGACCTCATCGTCGGGTTTCCCAAACGGGGGCCCCATTTTCGATAGTGCGCACTGGTATTTCCTTTCTTGGGCGACCGCAGGGTACCGCCTTTTCTTGCTTTATGATACTCGTACCAATATGAAGCAGAAAAGCAGGTACATACACAGAAGCATACCCTAAACCCGAAACCCTAAACCGGGCAGGGTTGAGGCGTGAAGAGGTGCCTCAATGTGACATGGATCGTAGTTGTGGTGTTTAGGAAGGGTTTGTTCTGGGGTGGAGGCTTCAGGGGGTAAGTTGCAAGGGCTGGGCGTTGGGGTATGGTTTCGATTTCGTTCGAGACGCAAGTATACTTGCTCTGGAGACGCAGGTGTACTTGCTTCCTTGGGCCGTGTGTGTGTGTGTGTGTGTGTGGGTGTGTGTGTGTGTGTGTTTCTGGCTCTGGCTCTTTTTGACCCCTAAGGCCTAAACTACCAGAACAAAAATTTTGTTGGGGGGGGACCACAGAGGTTCTGTGGTTGGGAGGAAGGCCTGCCAGAAGTCTCAAACCGCAAGCCTTAAAGCACTTAAAAGCCTGTCAAAGATTGAAGCAGACGAGCAGACAGGACTCCCGACATTTGAAGAGCCAGCCCACCCGCACCCGAGCCGTCCACTTTGCCGACGCGGAAGATGCATGCACCTGGGTGCCCGTGTTCGCAGCCTGGGCATTGTTTCCTTCAAGGGTGTTGTGTTCAGCAATGACGGTGCTGAGGGTTTTGACCGGCTGCCAAGCGAGTGTGGCGCGGTTTAGGGAAGTACGTAGTAGAGAGGGCTTGTATACTTTGTGGTACTTTACTAACCCTTTTTGGGTTAATTGGGTTTCTTAATAAGGCAGCTAAAAGTTTAGTTTTTAGCTACCCTGGCTACCCTCCTGAGTGCAGCCAAGTATAGTAAAGGAGCGAGCTGTGAGTGGGACAGTAGGCCCCCTGAACGCTTCGACTTACTGGCTCTCTGTATCTGCAGGTCGTCGGAAGCTACTATTGTCATTGGCACTGTTAGGTTAAGAGGAGAATCGGGTTTAGGGTTTAGGGTTTAGGCTTAGGGTTTAGGGTTTAGGGTTTTAAGGCTTTAAGATTTGTTCTGGCTGTCCTTTAAACCTTCCTCACAAAGTTGCCTGAACACCCTAGATCGAATGACTTCGGTGCCTATATATCATTGTTCTGAACCGTCCGCCCTCTGGACCACACGGACTACAAGCCGCATGACTCATGACTCCCTGCAAGAGGCACCCGTCCCTAGATCCCCTTAAACCCCGAACGCTGAACCCGAAACCCCCAAAGACCCGAAGCCCTGAATGCCTGAAAGTAAAAGCAACCCAGGAGTCCCTCCACCATAAATGTCTATGACTAACAAGAGCATATGTACTTGTATGTAGACGTAGATGTAGCTGTAGATGTATATGTATATGTGCATGCATGAATATAAGCACAAAGCATGTGTGTACATATATATATATGTATACATATGGGAGTGTGTAATGTACATATTTCAAGATACACTTCCCCGCCACCCTAAACCCTAGACCCTAGACCCTAGACCCTAAACCCTAAACCCTAATCCTAAACCCTAATCCTAAACCCTAAACCTTAGCCCTATACTGAGGTGGGCTCCACCACAAGCCTGTTAAGCGGCCGGGGCGCGAACCCGTTGCTCTGGAGCCGCCCAGGAAGCCTGGGAGGCTTTGGGGGGTTTAGGGTTTAGGGTTTAGGGTTTAGGGTTTAGGGTGTAGGGTTCAGGGTTCAGGGTTGAGAGTTGAGGGTTGAGGTTGTAGGGTTTAGGAGTCACTCGGCACGCAGGGTTCTGCCTGAGGACCACTTTCCCTTCCACCATGTCATTCATCCTGCGCAATCGTCAACCCTCCGGCAAAAGTTGCAGACCCCTGACTGGCCACCCCCCGCAAGCAGCCATCAGAAGAGGGTCTTAGAACATGGCTGTGAGCACGGGGGGCCAGTAGTGAGTCCACAAGTACAGCCCGAAAAAGTTGTGGGGTAGGGTTTACGGTTATTCGAGTCATATACTTCTAAGTCCATGGGTCCTTATGGGTGATTTTTGAACAGATGCGCCGAGGCGGTTCTAGGATTAATTTGCACGCAGCTGTTTTGCATTGTAAGTTAGGCCGCGGCTGTCTCTGGCCAATCAGAAGTTGCATGAAGGATGTTAAACCCTGCGCCCCAAAGTGTGTGCAGGGTTTAGCACCCTAAACCTCAACCCCATCAAGTATCGCTTCCTTGGTTCCAGTAACCTTGCTGGTAAGCCGAAAGCCTTCCTCTAAGCCCTAAACCCTACCTGCAACCCGCAAGCGTCCCTTAATGAGGCGCCTCGGGGTAATGAAGGTACTTGGGGCCCCTTGGTACACCAAGCTGCTGTGTTTCCGCACCCTAAACCCTAAACCCTAAACCCTAAACCCTAAACCCTAAGCCCTAAGCCCTAAGCCCTAAGCCCTAAGCCCTAAGCCCTAAGCCCTAAACCCTAAACCCTAAACCCTAAGCCCTAAGCCCTAAACCCTAAACCCTAAACCCTAAACCCTAAACCCTAAACCCAAACCCTAAACCCCTGGTTGGATGTGGCAGGCTTCCGCCCAATGCCACGCGAGTCTCCGCAGGATGGCGAGACGAATGCGACACTTCGCTTGCAATCTGGGGATCCTGTAGCAAAGTGGCTTTCTTATACAGGTCTTGGGTTAAGGGTTTAGGGTTTAGGGTTCCGGGTTTATAGAAATTGTATAGTCTTTGGGACCCAATAACGTTTTGAGCGAAACGTTTTGAGCGTAAGTTTTAAGCGAAACATTTCGGGCGAAACGTTTGAGTGAAACGTTGTTTTTGAGATTAGGTTTTAAGGGGTCGACGTGGGGGGGAGTGGAGGGTGGTACGACGTGGCGGGGGGAATGAATATGGTTTGGAAATCAAATAATACATAATGTGGATAGAATTCGAAAATATTGGATAATTCCACTTGAAATCTTCATGACATTTTTTTATAATGATTCAAGGAGTCTTTGGATATCTCAGAAATTATTCGAAAATGAAATCCTCATGAAAATTTGATTTTGCTATAATTCAAGGAGTTTTGGATATCTCAGAATTTTTTCGAGGTTTCTAATGGATGTTTTGAATTATTGGAAAGAAAGAATAATTGAAACCTCTTTGAAATTTTGATTTTGCAACGATTCAAGGAATCTTTGGATTCCTCAGAAATTTTTATTATGTTGGTTTTGCAAGGACTCAAAGCATCTTTGGATACCTCAGAATATGTTTGGCAATTTGCTTCGAGATTTATAATTGTTTTTTTGAATTATTGCAAATAAAAAATCTTGAAAATCTGAATTGAAATCCTCATGAAATTTTGGTTTGCCATGATTCAAGGAATCTTTGGCCATTTCAGAATTTCTTTTAAAATCTAATTCGAGGTTTCTGGAATATTTAGAATTATTTGAAACCAAAAACCAATCCCTGATTTTGAATTTAGTTCGGAATTTCCAATGGAATATTAAGAAAGAATTGGAAACCACAAAAATTTTAATATGGGTAGAATTCAAAAATACCCGATAATTCCAATTGAATTGAAATCCTTTTTTAAATTCTGGATGTGCAATGGCTCAAATATTCTTTAGATATTCGGAAATGATTTTAAATTTATTTTGAGATTTTGAACGGAATATCTAACTTGTAAACCAAAAGTTTTAAATATGGATAGAATTCTGAAAAATATCGAGAATTCCAACGGAAATATTCATGAATTTTTGGTTTTGCAAGAACAGTGGCTGTACTACTACGACTTGTAGCTGCAAGTTTTAGTGGATTCACAACGCAGGCACGAGGCGAGCGTTGGCTGCCGGTTTGAGTCGGTTTCTGGGCAAACGCAAGAAGCATAAACGCAAAGCAATGTTGGAGATGTCAGGCCCTCAGACTGTTGGAATGTCTCTGGAAACATGCCTCTGGCAGTGTTGCGAGTTGTGTGTACATATGTTTCTGGCTGCGCAACAGTTCGGTGCTTCTTAGCTATGGTATAGGCCTTGTGACGGTAGCGCCGTCTTTGCGTCTGTGGCGACGACATGGAATCTTCCACGAGGCTGGTAGATAGAGGAATACGGCAAAGAATTTGCATCTACGTCAACAAATGTGTGTTTGACTGGTCAGCTAGTGACAGCTAGTGTGTTTAAACGATGAAAGGGTTGCCTGTTGGGGCATGCAGGACAGTCGATGCCGTCTCGTCTGTTGACCGTTTCTTGTGATGCGCAGATGGTGTTGTCGCAGAGTAGTCATGTAAGGACGCGGTAGCGCATCATCTGTTGCGTCAAGCTTGTTGGTTGGCGGGAAAATGTTATTTGATCGTGAATGGCAGAGTGCAGACAGGGCCGGTGCTACTGGTGGCAACTCGAAATCAACATGTATACTGCGTGTGTGTTGGTTGCGGCGCTGCGATTCTTGCCGGAATTGGTCTAAGGTATCCGGCGCAAAACGCACAGGATGTTTGTACTTTGACAGCAATCTCGCCACCTGCGGGATCGTGGTTGCCCGACAACACGCTCATGCTGTCCCGCCACGGCGAGATCAACTCCCGACTTGCGGGAGGGGATGTGGACGGTGATCTCAACTAGGCCAGTGCAAGTGACTAGCGAGCTTAAAGCAGGTGTCGACTCGTTATGACTCCTTTCCAAGACGGCAGATTCGTCATCATATATAGCAACAGTTAAGTGTATGACAACGGCTGTCGTTATAGCGACAATCGTGGGGGCATTGGAAGCGGTGTTAAGCCCGACTTGTCGAAGAAAATCTGTCAGCAACTTAAGAAGCAGTTGAATTTTAAATTTCACACAAAGATTGAGAGAAGTCCGCCATTTTGAAGTCCGGGTCAGGCATATGCTTTCTGCTCAGCGCAGGTCGCCAAAAACTTTCCCTTAGTTTTGGGCAGGGTGCAACTCGGAGGTTTCAATCCAACTCGACTGCTCCGTATTAGATAATTCAATCGCGAGGTTGTGGTTGGACAAACACATCACGGCGGTCTGAGCTTTGTTTAAGAAGCGAAATAGTTTGGACTTGTTGATGCTGATGTTTTACTTTTTGAATTTCTGCGCTGCTTGGTTGTCTGCCGACGCCGGCTTTCCACGAGAGGTTGTTTCGTTGGCATAACGAGAGGAACAGCCTGAATCATCGGTCTTGGTTTAACTTCTGAATGCGAAGACGATGGAGGATTGTATATAAGTCTTGTGAGTTGCACATCGCGGCGGAACAACGTTGTTGTGATTGTGAAGTTTCGACAGCTGGGCCCGCAGTGTGAAAATACGTGGAGCATAGCCACGAGCGTCCAAACCAGCGAGACGCTTAAGCAAGCCTTAACCCTGATCCCAGAGCGTTGACTGTCGTCAGGTGCATCCTGATGGGTATAAAATATGTATATGCATTTTCGCAGCCTTAATTTCCATCAGCAAACTTCGCTCAGAAGTTCCAAAGAGCTCTTCGCACCAGATGCTAAAACACACACGACATCAAACTCCTAAACCGACAAGCTTTACCTTCGAAGACAATTAAATAGATAGACCCACACCATAAGTCAACAATCACAATGCTCTAGACTTAAGTGACCTTGCCGATCCCCTGGTAGCGTTTCCTTTTGGAGCTTCAGAAGCTCTCTTCAGCTTCAACCAGGCTTCGTGAGGCGTGGTAATGCGGCAACATGTGGCAACCCTTGTTTCTTGATGTGCTAGAACGTCAGTCTAGTATTCTTCTGGTGGGGACATCGTGGACATGACGCTGCACGTGCGCGCTCGATACCAATGGTCAATCAAGCCTTGGTTCGAATGGAGTGTGCTTCAAGGTCAACAACGCTGATATTCTTAGCACGAAGGAGTTTGTACTTGCCGTTTTACTTCTCGAAAACCATCACCGAGATTAATATTTATAGGCACTATAGTTTGTTCACGTAAATGCTCATGGCGGCTACACATATGCGCACTGCTTATTAGAACGACTCTCCCGAGGTCTTGCCCTGCAGTTGGAAAGTGAAGTACGGGCTAAGCTTCTCACAGTGGCTGCGACGTAATAAAACGGTGGAGGATTTAGGACTTAGGAATATGACCGTCGCTCCGCGGATGGATGTGGAGGATGACTGTGCTCATCCAGGCGGTGTTGGTTGTATGCAGAGTTCATCTGGCTCCGTAGCCTGGCTTGAAAAACGGTCTACAGTTTCAGCGCGTTTTGATTAGGCACGGTGTGAAAAAAAACCGGCGTCAGGATGAGTCACATGGTCTAGCACTCGGAGTGCCAACTACGAAGCACTATCTTGAAATGGCGACTGTCAGGGCTCTAGTTCCCCCTGACTCTAGATCGGGCAACGAATCTCCAACTTCCCGGTAACCGTGGCAATTGTGGAAGATATCGGCCTTCAGACGATAGAACATTTGTGAATCGGAACGCACGATGCAGAACACGGTGCTACACGGTTTCGCTTCCTGATTCCAATCATATAGACATATTCGAATAATTGGATTGGGAATGCCCAATGCAGATACACGTTGATACACGGTCAAACCCTGGGTTATAGCGACGAATACACGCAGATACACGGTGATACACGGACTCGTCTCGCAGTTCAAAAAACATTTCACAGTTCCAAAGCGGTTGAACAGGAGCAATGCAACTCCACGACGGTCACACCCTGCGTGAAGTCTGCACCTTCGCATCCACCTCTCCGCCGGAAGCCATGAACCCAACAGCCTAAGCCCGGAGTCCTACAAGCCCCCAAAATTGAGAGTGCCTGAACCCTCAGTCACCCTTCTCCACCCCGTAAAACAAACCTAAACCCTAAGCGTAAGAATCTCAAACCCTGGGCTCGAAACCCTCGACGGGTTGTTTACTCCTTCGCTTTTAGGCTGTTTTTGCATGGTTTCAAGGTCTCTCCTTACTTGCTCCTAATTCCAGGGATTGAGCGAGAGGGGGTCTCCGAAAGGGCTTCAGCCCAAAATACTATATATGCTGCCGGGGGAGCAATGGCCGACAAAGAGCGTGCAAAAACAAAAAGCAAGCAAGTGGACCACGCGAGGCAATGTGAGCGCAACAACAAACATGAAAAAACAAAAAAAACATGTTCGTGCTTATACGTAGCTTTGCTCAGCCTCCACGGCTCTTGCCTTTTCGGCCGAAGTGTTATTATGTAATTATGTTGCCACTCTGTACGTTTAGAAAGATAAGATGAGCCATGGCGACAGGCTTCGTAAGCAAAACCATACCATCTGGGGAGCGTGGTGCAATCAGGTTTTTCTTTTCGGGAAGCTCAAAGGGCTTTGGGTTGAACACGGTGGTTTTGGTTTTCATTCTTCAAATAGGGTTTAAGATGTGGAAGTTTGAGGTTTTTGGCATCATCTTCTTACAAAAGCAATCTTGTTTTGAGCTTGGTTAAGTTTCTGGAGGGTCGATCTGCTGCTCATGGGCTGGCTGGTCGTGCGAGATAATTATTGTCGGTCTCGGCGTGCAGCAAGTTTAAGGCGTTCAATTTGCCGTCGAAAACGACGTGCGTGTAGGCTCAGCATGTGTCTATAAACTTGACGTTCACGTTGCCCGATGGGCCGCCCTGCAGCAGGTTGACTTCTTGTCGTTTGAAGTCCAAAGTGCGATGAAGCACGT